CCCCCCCCCCCAACCACGTAATTTGAACAAAAAACTTTATTTTATATGCGAATAAATTTAGGAATTTTCCAGTGCGATGCCATGATCGCGTCCTCCATTTTACTTTCAGAATTTTAAATGACTGTGATGATGAAACCGTCGATTTGTTTTAGGTTTGTGTTATTTTATTTTTATTTGTGTGTGTTTGGAGGGTAGATGTGAGGGGGACCACAGATGACGAGAGCTGAGAACGAAAACGCTGGGCGTAGATAGCGAACTAAAGTACAACAGATGAGAGAGTAGTTTACCTGACATCGGGAGAGTTTATGGTATTACAGACAAGACATGATCGCTTGTGAGGCAAGGAGACACAAGTTGGACAATGTGGGTGACATGATAGCTTGGGAGGCAGGGAGGCACCAGGTGGACAGTGTGGAGATATGATAGCTTGGGAGGCAAGGAGATACCAGGTGGACAGTGTGGGTGACATGATAGCTTGGGAGGCAGGGAGGCACCAGGTGGACATTGTGGGGATATGATAGCTTGGGAGGCAAGGAGACACCAGGTGGACAGTGTGGGTGACATGATAGCTTGGGAGGCAGGGAGTCACCAGGTGGACAGTGTGGGTGACATGATAGTTTAAGAGGCAGGGAGACACCAGTTGGACAATGTGGATGACATGAGAGTTTGGGAGGCAGGGAGACACCAGTTGGACAATGTGGGTGACATGAGAGCTTGGGGGGCAATTATATTTCATAGCGGTAGCCATTATTGGGTTAGCAATATATGATATTCATCAATACATCTTTTGTTTAGTACTGTTGCTGAGGAGTTGTTTGGTTATTCATTAGTGTTCTGTGTTTTATTAGTTGTACTTCTCAACGCACGGACTAATGAAAAATGAAAGAGAGGAACTAGTAAACAACCATAGAGAGGAGCTAATGCACCATCATATAGAGGAAAAGGGAGTCATCACAGAAACGGTCTAGTGAAACATCATAGAGAGGAACTAGTGAACCATCATAGAGAGGAATAATGGAACCAGCATAGAGAGGAAATAATAAGCCAACATATAGAGGAACTAGTGAACCATCACAGAGTGGTACCAGTGAACATCATAGAGAGGAAGTAGTGAACCATTATAGAAAGGAAGTAGCGAACAAATATAGAGAAGAAGTATTGAAACATCATAAAGAGTAAGTAGTGAACCATTATAGAGAGAGACTAGTGAACCATTTTAGAGAGGAACTAGTGAACCATTAAAGAGAGGAAGTTGTGAACCATCATAGAGAGGAAATAGTGAACCATCATAGAGAGTAAGTAGTGAACCATCATAGAGAGGAAGTAGTGAACCATCATAGAGAGGAAGTAGTGAACCATTATAGAGAGTAAGTAGTGAACCATCATAGAGAGTAAGTAGTGAACAATTATAGAGAGTAAGTAGTGAACCATCATAGAGAGCAAGTAGTGAACATCTCACACAGAAGAAGGTCTGTTAATATTAATATTATCCTTTTTTTTTTTTTTTGTTGTATCAAATGGTTGGTGTAAATAAATCTGCGGTGTAAAAGCGGTCGCCCCACTATTAGAAGATTAATATTAATATAATTTAAAATGCACAGAAATGATTAATACGAAGAACTTTGTTGACAGGGGGTTGTTTAATTGAATAAGACCAAACAAAATGTTTAGTGGCCCCTCGTGCGGGCATCTATGG